ACATCCGCGTTTCTCTCTGTCTTCCCCTCTCTTTAACATGCTCCCTAAAAACAATGGTGTGGACGGACGGAAGGGGCCACACGCTAACCCGACAAGCTCAGGGGAGGCCGGCGTGGCGGCCTTGCAAACTCAGAGACCTAAAGTCACCACAAAGGATGGTCTGAAATTAAACTTCCCTTTTTCTGGACCCCTTGGGGCACAACCTAATGTGCTGGGCGCCCGGACTGAGACCACAAATTCCTTCATTATCATGTTAATTGTTCCTGCACCCACCTAAGTATGTGCCCATTATTTTATCCAATCCCAGGGCCCCCCCCACCACCACCACCGGCTTTGCTTTCTCCCGCCTCTCTAGTCTATCACCAACGGATTTCATGTACCCCGCCTGCGTCCCTTTCGTGTGACTGCAGTGTATAAATACAGATGTAACCGCCGATCTCCGGAGCATTATCTCAATGCGTTGAGCTTCTACTTCCCGGCATATGTTTGGCTCAAATAAACTCACAAAAATTCTTTACAGATTTCAATGGTTTTTTTTTACGTTAACAATGGAAAAATATCCTCGGGTGCGGATGAACAACTAATAATAATACTAAAATAACTGTTCATGCGCCCCTTCAGCGAGCACTGGGGAGAGACGCTGACCGAGAGCCACAGCGCGGTCACGGGACCTGCCCCATGGCCTAGCACGCTGTGTAACAGAGGTTTTGAGGGGAGCGTCCCCCTGGGGTACAGATGAGCTGCTTCTCGCTCCTGACACCACGTGTGTGTGTGTGGGGGGGGGGGGTTGTCTCTCTGTTTCACACCAACACCCAGTTCTCCGCCTCTGGTCCGTTCTGTATCCGGGTCGGCTAACGACCTGGAGTCAGCGTCAGGTCAGGCCCGGCAGGTGAAGTGAGGGCTCAGTGCCACCAGACCCGCCCCCCTCCACCCCCCGACTTCAGACGCCAATCGCAAGTCCCAGGCCTCCCCTGCTGACTGGGGGTTCCCGTGACCCCTCCCAGGTTTGACAGTTTGCTAGAATAAGGGCTCCTAGAACCCTGGAAGGCACCTTACCACACAGATCTCTCCATACTCTGGGTTCTTTGGGAAGTTTCATTCATTCATCAGCAAATACTGGGTGGGGGCAGAAGTGGGTTGAGAGGCCTGGCCCTGTTGCTCAGTGGTTAGAGCGTCGGCTCGGCTCCCACACCGAAGGGTCGCAGGGTCGATTCCTGGTCAAGGGCATGGACCTGGGTGGCAGATTCTACCCCCAGCCCCAGTTGGGGCATGTGAGGGAGGCAACCAATCGATGTGTCTTTCTCACGTAGATGTTTCTCTCTTTCTTCCTCCCTGCCTTCCACTCTCTCTAAAAGTATCCGCCCATGAGGATTACCCAGAACAACAAGAGTAGGTTTACAGTTGTTTGTATGGAGAACAATACTGTAATTAATAGGTAATAAAACAAGAATAAACTCTTGTGCACGCCTGTAAACCTGCATTGCAATGTTTTAAATGTTTTTATTCGTTTTAGAGAGGGGAGAAGGGAGAGGGAGAGGGTCATTGATTGACTGCCTCCTGCATGCCCCTACTGGGGATCCTGCCCACAACCCAGGAATCGAACCAGCAACCTCTTGTTTGCACAGGAGGAGGCTCAACCCACTGACCCACACCAGCCAGGCCTGCAAACCTACTTCCCCCCTCCCCCCTCCGCCCTAGTACAGTGGTTGGCAAACTTGCGGCTCAGCAAACCGCAGCTCCTGAGCCACATGCGGCTCTTTGGCCCCTTGAATGTGGCTCTTCCACAAAATACCACGTGCGGGCGCGCACGTACAGTGCGATTGAAACTTCGTGGCCCATGCGCAGAAGTCGGTATTTTGTGGAAGACCCACACTCAGGGGGCCAAAGAGCCGCATGTGGCTCGGGAGCCACGGTTTGCCGACCACTGGTCTAGTATTTACCAGGGCCTCCTAAGTGAGAACAAAGCAGGCTGAGAAGTGAAGATTTTATCTCGCTTGTTAGTGGCAAAGGGTTCAAGATGTAGTAACTTCCTCTGGTTGCCTCCCAGATGCCCCAACTGGGGGTGCAACCCACAATCTGGCTCTGTGCCCTGACGTGTGCACAGGACAACGCTCCAACCCAGCCACCCGGCCAGGGCTGGCATGTGTGTGTGTGAATAAGACATACAGTGGCCCGGACAGTGTGGCTCAGTGGTTGAGCATTGACCTGTGAACCAGGAGATCACGGTTAGATTCCTGGTCCGGGTATGTGCTTGGGTTCCGGGCTCAAGCCCCAGAAGGGGGTGTGCAGGAGGCAGCCAATCAGTGATTCTCTCTCCTCATTGATGTTTCTCTCTCTCTCCCTCTCCCTTCCTCTCTGAAATCAATACAAATATATTGTTTAAAAAATAAAAGAACTAGACATACGGTGTGTTATCTGCTCCTTCCTGCTCTTTAGGTCTTTTCTGCATGATGTCATCACTGCATTTACTGGAAGGGAATCTGTGGGGGACTGAAAGATCAAGTCCCCTGCACAGCCAGCTGTGAACAGAGGTGGAGAATGAATGCAGAGCCTGGGGAAGGTGGGACAGGGCTGCTGTCCGCCTGTGTTCGTTTACTTGAGCTGCCATAGCAAATCCTCACAATCTTAGGGCTTAAAATGACCAAAAAAAAAAAAAAATACATTCTCTCACAGTGCGGAAGGCCAGAAGTCTGACATCAAAGTGTCAGCCAGGCCCGGGCGGCGTGGCTCAGTGGTTGAGCTGCGACCTATGAACCAGGAGGTCATGGCTCGATTCCCGGTCAGGGCACATGCCTGGGTTGGGGCCTGCGGGAGGCAGCCAATCAATGATTCTCTCTCGTCATTGATGTTTCCCTTTCTCTCTCTCTCCCTCTCCCTTCCTCTCTGAAATCAGTAAAAATAAATATTTTAAGCCCAGCTGGCATAGCTCAGTAGTTGAGCGTCGACCTATGAATCAGAAGGTCACGGTTCAATTCCCGGTCAGGGCACATGCCTGGGTTGTGGGCTCGATGCCCAGTGTGGGGTGTGCAGGAGGCAGCCGATTCATGATTTTCTCTCGATTCATGATTTTCTCTCCCTTCCTTTCTCTGAAATCAATACAAACATTTCATATATATATATATATAAACATACACAAAAAAATCGCAAAGCGTTAGCGGGGACACACTCCCTTTGCAAACTCTAGCGGAGAGCAACTTGCTGCTTCTTCCGCCTTCATGGGCCTGTATTGCACAATGTACACCGGCACGAGATAACAGCTTGCAGAAGGCCCAGCGTTGGCAATCCACGGTGGATGTGGGGCCTCCACAGCCTCCAGGAGTCATGCACCTGGTTTGCTCTGTCACCTTCAACAGGGTCCCCATGTTGCCATGGCAGCTGCAGGACGAGGAGGGGTTGGGGCTGGGATCCTTCTCGCCTCTGTCCTGTGTGATCCTGAAATTGTCCACATTCCATGCACATCCCATTGTCCAGAACTTAGTTACATGGCCACATATATGTAAGGGAGACTGGGACATAGAGTCTTCAGTTGGGGGAATATATGCCCAGATAAATTTTTTTTAAAATTCTTTACATTTATTGATTGGTTTTAGAGAAAGGGAGGAAAAGAGAGAAAGAGAGAGATTCGTTGTTCCACTTATTTATGCATTCGAGGTCCCCAGGGATTGAACCTGCAACCTCGGCCTACTGGGACAAGGCTCTAACCAGCTGAGCTGTTGGAGGCCAAAGGAGGGAGGGGACACCTGTAATTACCGTATTTTTCCGTGTATAAGACACCCCTATGTATAAGACGCCCCCACTTTTCCAACCCCAAAATGAAGAAATCAATATCTTAAACATTTTTCTGGTTTTCCTCTTAAGGCCTTCCTTTTCGGCATCTTCACTTGTTCTTCCTGTTTTCTCCGCTATCTGATCATACACGCAGTGGGAGGAGGCCCACAGGGTCTCTCCGAAGCTCTGTTTCCCTGCTCTTCTGCAGAGCTGATGGCATCCAGGTTGAATTTTGCAGAGTAAGACAGTCGCTTATCGGCATTTATCTTTTTTATTTTTTGACCTTTATGGGCTCAGAGTGCTCCGGTCCCTGTTGCATCTGCACCCTCTCCACCCCCACCTCCAATGAGGGCGTCAGCTGATGTCAGAAACGATAAGGCCGTGATTGGAGGAAGCCTGTTTGACCAGGTATGGGCAGCTATGCCTCCTCGGCTCCCTCCTCCATATACAAGATGCTCCTCGATGTTCAGTCTACTGATTTTAGAAAAAAATAGCATCTTATACACAGAAAAATATGGTATGTCAACAGTAAAAAAAAAAATTTATTAAAGAAGGAAAAATAATAATGAAATAAAACTTAACATTTTAAATTGAGCTGCCCTAGGGCACATGCCCAGGTTGCAGCTCCATCCCCAGTAGGGGCTGTGCAGGAGGCAGCTGATCCATGATTATCTCTCATCATTGACGTTTCTCTCTCTATCTCCCTTCATCTCTGAAATCAGTGAAAATATCCAGTGTGGCTCAGTGGTTGAGCGTCCACCTATGAACCAGGAGGCTTAATTCCTGGTCAGGGCATATGCCCACCTTGTGGGCTTGAACCCCAGTGAGGGCCTTGCAGGAGGCAGCCGATCAATTATTCTTCCTCATCATTGATGTTTCTATCTCCCTCTCCCTCTCCCTTCACCTCTGACGTTGAGTGTTGACCTATGAACCAGGAGGTCATGGTTCAATTCCCAGTCTAAGCGCATGCCTGGGTTGCGGGCTCCATCCCCAGTAGGGGACCTGCTGGAGGCAGCCAATCCATGATTGTCATCATTGATGTTTCTCTCTCTCTCTCCCACTTCTCCCTTTCTCTCTGAAATCAATAAAGAAATATATTTTTTTTTAAATGTAATTTGAAAGAAAGGAAGAAAGAGAAGAAATGAAAAGGGAAAGAAAAGAAGAGAAAAGAAAAAGAAAAATGTGTATCAGCAAAAGTGAAGGTGCCCTTGCTGGACTGTGGGGTGGGGGGCGTATCCCTGAGCTCCCAGAGGCGCTGCACAGCCAGGGTGGGGCTGGGCTGCGGTCGCACGTGACCCCGGGAACATCCTCTCCAATCTCTCCCCCTGGCTCCCTGCCAGGGCCTTCAGGGATGTGTTCCCCCTCCTTCCACTCCATCCCCCTCGCTTCTGAGGCCCGGAAGCAATGCCTGTCATTCGCAGCCAGGACCGCACTGGGTAGGAGATGGTATTCCCCACACACACACCCCGCTGGGGGAGCCTCGGAATTCCCCCTCTCGCTGCCCAGAGGAGGGTTTGGGCCCTGATGAGGCACCTGCCTGCTCCCCACCGTGCAGATCGCCTTAGCAGGTGGCGACTTTGTCGTGGTCCTTAAGCAAAACAGGCCGAAGTCTCTGGCTGAGGAGCTGCAGGCTGCCTTGGGGGGTAGGGTGGGGTGGGGGGAGGGAGGAAGGAAATCTGTGGGTTTGTGAAGCTCCTCTTGCTCAAGGTGCTTATCAGATTGGAGAGAAACCAAGTCAACATCTGCAGGGGACAGAGAAGCAGCCATGATGCCTGCAGACAAGGCAACACTGTGTGCGTCTTAAAAAAACCCCATCGCCGAAACCGGTCTGGCTCAGTGGATAGAGCGTCGGCCTGCGGACTGAAAGGTTCCAGGTTCGATTCCGGTCGGGGGCACGTACCTTGGTTGCGGGCACATCCCCAGTGGCGGGTGTGCAGGAGGCAGCTGATCGATGTTTCTCTCTCATTGAGTTTCTAGCTCTCTATCCCTCTCCCTTCCTCTCTGTAAAAAAATCAATCATAAAATATATTTAAAAATAAAAAAAAACAACCCCCAAAACTAGGTTCAAAACTAGGTTCATGGCTGTGTGGTAAGTGGTTAGCACTGTGGCCACACACCCAAGGGTCATGGGTTTCATTCCCCATGAGGCTCACGCCCTGCCCCAGGTCAGGTAGGGGTGTGTCTCTCTCTCTCACATCCATGTTTCTCTCTCTCTCTACCCCTCCCTCCCTTCCACTCTCTAAAATAAATAAATAAATAAAGCAATGAAAAAAAGAGGATTAACAAAAAATATATATAGCCCTGGCCGGTTTGGCTCAGTGGATGGAGCATTGGCCTGCTGGACTGAAGGGTCCCGGGTTCGATTCTCATCAAGGGCACGTGCCTGGATTGCGGGCTCGATCCCCAGTGGGGGGCGTGCAGGAGGCAGCCGATCAGTGATTCTCTCTCATCATTGATGTTTCTATCTCTCTCTCCCTCTCCCTT